TTTTTTTTTTTTTTTTTTTTGTAAACTAGATGGGCTCTTGGGGAACCCACTTTTTAAAAGAGCTAGCCCGGAGTAAAATGTGAACCCGTGTTCTGTTCCTTCGTTCCTGGATTTTCCTCTTCTAAAGTCATAGAGAGACCATTTATTCCAAGTTCTGCTCATTACTTATAATAATACTGGAGAACAAAGGTGATATGACTTATCCAACATCATTTAGAGAATTAATTTTTGGAGGAGAATTTAAACCCATTTTCTTGGATTCCAGAGCAGTGCTCATTCCTTTCTATTACACAGCCTTTCTGCTAATTGTCTTTTAGTAACTTGTCCTAAGGCATTATTAACTAATGTCCTAAAGGGACATTAATTTTTTCCCCCCATTTCTTTCTTCCTTTAAAACTGTCCCTTCCTGGTAATCAGCAAAAGCCATCGATGTGCTGAAGGTAGGAAATGAATAGAAAATCATCCCTGTCGGTCAGCCAACAAGAGTGTATTGAGTCCTCAATATACTTGAGGGATTGTATTATGTGTTAGGAGATACAAAGAAATGTGGACATTGCTCTTAATTGAATAAATTTGTAGTCTAGTTGAGTGAACAGAATAGAATCTACAGCTCCTTGTATCTTTAGTTGTTTCCTTAAGTTTAGGGGCCAAATGAGAGCAGTGTGCACTTGGACCCTCTGGAGGAAGTTCTCTGGCCTGGGATGGTCAGGGAATATTTGCTGGAGGAGACGGAACTTAGGAACCTCTGCTTTGTGCCATCATGGGAACGCATTGTCTGCTTCTACCACTTGTCCCAGGACCAAATAGAGTTAAAACATGAAGAAGAGGCTTGGATTGTAAGACAGATCCTTCCTGGGTGGACAAGGGCCACAGTGACTGGAGAAACACCTACACTCCCAATCCTGGGAGTCCTATTCCATCTTGGACCTCTAGGGAGCTTAAAAAACATCTTGAAATTTGTTTGTTTTCAAGTTACGATTTAAAAGGCCAAATTCATTCAGCTTAGTAAGAGCTGGCCTTGATGGGAAAGGTACAAATTATTCCATGGGATGGTTGCAGGCCCACCATGGGATAAAGACACCCAGATCTCAGCTTCACACACCTGCCGCTTCAACCCGCGAGCCAAGGTCAAGCCTCCTGCAGCTCATAGGAACAAAGATTTGCTAATGGCTGGTGCCATCTGTAGGGTTGTACCGGCTGCAGTGTGAATGCATGTCCCATCCTTTGGCTCTCTAATATGTCAAAGACAGAAAGATGATTTAAGAAAATGTGACTCCAGGAAAGGCAGGCCAGAGTTCTCTACTTTCCATATCACCCCTCCCACCAACAGCTGTGACTAAAGCTGGGTCTTAAGTCAATGGAAACACAAAGCTTGCTGTTTTAAAAGGTCTTATTTTTTACTTCCAGGCAGGCTGCTGTCTTAGTTATCATTTACAGAAAGCTCTAATGACATCATAGATGGCAGCACTATTGTTAATAGTAAATGTAATTGCTATGACCTCGAATTAGCAAAACTGCTCATTTCACCAGTCATCGA